AGGCTTTTTTCAGCAATGGATTACACATAATTTTAAAATTTTGTACCCATCGACTCAAATTGTATTGTGTAGAGTGTATGAATCTTTTTTATATCAATCAATAAAATCTCGCCCCTCTTGGGCGGAAAGACATGTGAGTAATGTTTGAAAAGTGCATAAATTTACGATTTTTCACCTATGACGATATAGGCGAAATAGGCTTTTTTCAGCAATGGATTACACATAATTTTAAAATTTTGTACCCATCGACTCAAATTGTATTGTGTAGAGTGTATGAATCTTTTTGATATGAATCAATAAAATCTCGCCCCTCTTGGGCGGAAAGACATGTGAGTAATGTTTGAAAAGTGCATAAATTTACGATTTTTCACCTATGACGATATAGGTGAAATAGGCTTTTTTCAGCAATGGATTACACATAATTTTAAAATTTTGTACCTATCGACTCAAATTGTATTGTGTAGAGTGTATGAATCTTTTCTATATCAATCAATAAAATCTCGCCCCTCTTGGGCGGAAAGACATGTGAGTAATGTTTGAAAAGTGCATAAATTTACGATTTTTCACCTATGACGATATAGGCGAAATAGGCTTTTTTCAGCAATGGATTACACATAATTTTAAAATTTTGTACCCATCGACTCAAATCGTATTGTGTAGAGTGTATGAATCTTTTTTATATCAATCAATAAAATCTCGCCCCTCTTGGGCGGAAAGACATGTGAGTATTGTTTGAAAAGTGCATAAATTTACGATTTTTCACCTATGACGATATAGGCGAAATAGGCTTTTTTCAGCAATGGATTACACATAATTTTAAAATTTTGTACTCATCGACTCAAATTGTATTGTGTAGAGTGTATAAATCCTTTTTATATCAATCAATAAAATCTCGCCCCTCTTGGGCGGAAAGACATGTGAGTAATGTTTGAAAAGTGCATAAATTTCCGATTTTTCACCTATGACGATATAGGCGAAATAGGCTTTTTTCAGCAATGGATTACACATAATTTTAAAATTTTGTACCCATCGACTCAAATTGTACTGTGTAGAGTGTATGAATCTTTTTTATATCAATCAATAAAATCTCGCCCCTCTTGGGCGGAAAGACATGTGAGTAATGTTTGAAAAGTGTATGTTTTACGATATTTACTTTTAAAGTAATTACTCGTGCTGCATTTTTTTTGTTTAAAACTCATATTTATAAGCTTTTGTTTGATGATTCGCACTTTACATTTTTCTGGCACGCACTTATTGTTCCAATTTACAGAAATAACGTATATAACTTTATTTTTGTATTTTTATATTCATTCGCTTCCTAATTGCGTATGGAAATTTAGTCCCGCCTCCGATTCTGATATGATATTTGAACTTTTCGCTTGGTTGCACACAAAGGTCACCGTGAGAGTCACTTCACAGTGGTGCGTCTTACTTACGTTACAGACTTATGTTTGTACTCGTACCGGTGTCCGGTACCGGTTACAGGGTTACCGCTGGTAGACTACGGTATGACCCCTTTACCTTTGTTGTGCATTATTTGCATTCTAGCATAGTCCAATGGCAATTGTTCAGTTTGTAGAATTGAATAGGTATCGTACCGATACGTAACTGTATGTATGTTTTAATCAATTATTTTATTTCGGCTCTCTGACCTAAAACGGAACAACACAAAAAGCAAACAGACAACAAATACAGAAATACCGTACCCCGAAGGTGAGAATAACTTAAAATAGAAAACGTACAAATACGCGCCCACCCACCAAAAATAAAATAATGCGAGTATACAAAAAATATGGACACGATTCAAAATCGGGCAAAGCTTATAACTCAATTTAAAATGATAAAAGACACATAATTCTGTAATTGCTGGAATCCGTGGATAATTTACATGGAGTAAAAAAGTGTTGCGCTTGAAATAAAACAGCAGAATTCGGTTAGATAAAATTATATGTAATAGAATCCTAACGACCTCCTCAGTCTCTGATTGATGGAAACCTAATGATTCAAATGTTCGTACCCGTATAAATTTATGATTAACCTTGCAGTAAATATATATAAATACAGCTGATCCTGAATGCTGTAAATTCTGAGTCTGGCAGTCTGGGATGTTAATTCGTCTCGTAAAGACTTATATAACAGTATAATGGTACCGGTACCAAATTTTTTAGCATAGGCAATTTTGCATGCAGAAGAAGAATTTAGAAATTTAAATGAAATTGATATAGATAGACTATAAGTATAATAATAATATTAGTATATTATATTTGTATATTTTGATTTTCTTTACTACTCTAAAAACAGAAGTACGGTATCAAGTATTTAATTAAATTGAAATTTGGAAAGTACCCGTACTAAATGTTATTACTATAGCACGATCAGCTGATTGACAAAGGATAGAATTTACATATTTATTTCGGGGTAGAGGAATGCCGATTGCAAGCCACAGCTTCTCGTCCAGTTACCAGTTCATGTTGGGTACCAGTATGGAATTGATTAGTCGGTTTGTTTCAAATGCGTGGACTTGGTGAAGGAGGCAGTGAACCAGAGTTATGTGAACCACCCTATTTTGACCAAATTATTTATTCGCAATCGCTTGTTCAAATTTCACTGAATTTGACAAATTTTCAAAGTACAGAATTAAAAGATATTTAATCTTCTTTACTAAGCTATCAGCTTTTATTCCTGCATAGAAAATACTTTTTCAAATTCGAACCATTAATTCTACTTAAAATTGTCTGGGGAATTATTACTGATTCCCAGACAGATTAATGTTTTGAATCAGGTTTAGTTTAATTCTACCTCAGAAAGTTATGACGATTATTGAGGCATGACTGGCCAGAATATTCTCATCTCAATTTATGAGCGATTGTGCTGCTAGCTTTTTGTTTTCTCATGTTAGGTCAAGTCAATGGTAAAGTTGACTAGAACTGAATAAGTCCACAATCCTTGTTCTAACACTGTAACATGAAATTCACCTCAGTGCAAAACTTTTTGTCTTTTTTCAACCCGTTGCTCAGGGTTGACTGTTTTGGGTTTTGTTTACGAGTTTTGTCATAACTGGGTCACCTGAAAATCACCTTGAGCCGCTTGTTTTTTCGTCAAAAACTTGGTAAAAGTTGCCGATTTCATTTTCTAGTAGATTTTATTGTTTATTTTATATTCAGTATTAAAGTGTTGCTCATTAGTAACTGTATATGTGGTATCATAGCATAAAAACTTGGCAGTATCTATGTTGCTTAAGTGAAGCCACGCCACGATTTCAGTAACTAGCTGATTACTATCAGGCAGGTGTGGATTTGATTTGTTAATATTATTTTTTGTACTGAAGCGCTCCAGAAGTATGTGTACCAATATGGAGGTACCGGTATCTAATTTTGATTGCCTAACATAGACAGTCCGCGAACTCGTAATAGAACTAAAATAAGGACGCGGCGGTGTGGCTCAACGGGCTAAGCGTTAGGAATACGCTCGCCACCGCACCTCTAATTACTCTGTGTGGGTTCGCAGGTTCGAATTCCATGCAGGGATGGTTTGTGCGAGAGGATTGCTGGACTCCTCGCCGTCGTTGGGTGGTTCACGTAACCGCTGGTCGGTTAAGAATAGCCTAACCCTAACCTGGTTCACATACTACGAGAATACCGTATTTTCAAGGAGAAAAAGGCCATTTAAAAGTGATTGTTTTATATCAGTCATTCGATTTTGCGGCCAAACAAACTCTACCTGACGCTTTTATGTGAGCATATCATATCCTTAGGTCGCAAAATATTATAAAATTTATTTTTTAAAAAATTGAGGTTGTTTGGAAAAAGGTTGGGAACTACTGTATTAGAGTATGCCTACAATATATCGTTTTACCCATGTAATTGTAGGTATAAACTCTGTACTTTCCGCTGAGAATAGGACATGTTAATTTGAGCAGGTTTCATGTCTTAGTGTCAATGTGACTCATATTTATCCATTTCACGGTTGTTTATGAAATCTGTTATTATGACTTGGACTCGACTTGGTAGTACAGTGACTTGACTTGCAACTCGACATTCAGAGACTTCAGAATTCTACCCAACACTGTTATTTACATGTCTTGGAATTGTAATCATTGAGACGTGAGGTCTTGATAATCCTAATGCAAACATCAAAGTGCGGTTGCTGCTACTTACTAGGTTGTGTTTTAGGTCAAATTGTACTAAAGTTGACTAGACTGAAAGTGTTATGGTTTATCACGTAAGATACCATATTTCCTGGCAAATAAATCTATCGTCAAATAAGACAAAGCCTATTTTTAGCACTAAAAAATAGGGTTTTTCCATATAGCTCTCCAATGAGACGGGGCTGAAAATTTGATTCTCTGTTGGTCAGTTAAGTACTAATATGTATCAATAATTTTATATGGTTAGAACCAGGTCATGTTTGTTTCAGGTAGAATAATACTCACAGCATTAATTCTTAATAATAAAAGGGTAATTTCAATCATTTTGACCAACCCATTATCTGGAACGCTAAAATAACCTGTGAATATAGTGTGATAACTTGGATAAGTACTGCATTATACATCTACAAATTAATAACACCTGTGTTTTCGCTCTGGTGTGTTTTTCCCCGATTTCGCAAAACGGAAAGGTCATAAATCAATCCACTTTAATTCATGGCAGCCATTTTCTTTTTGAAGTACCAAGCATAAGCAGTAGGTGCTTCATCGCACCGGCCACGTTTTTAAAAGGAATAAGACAAACAACTGCAAGCAGTACAAAAATTCTGATTGGCAGACAGTTTGGCGATACATTATAAAATATATGAAACTTAGGCAAATCATGTTTGAGAAGACTTGTGAAAAATAAGCCCATCCTGGGAAAAAAATAAATAAGCATAACCGCCCAATAAGACGAACCCCCCAAAGTCAGGTCAAAAATTTGGGCCCAGAAAATCTACTCAATAGCTGGGAAATATGTTTACTTAATATGATGCCAATTTGACTTGAAGACTGTTTTCTATTTTTCAGAATCTAATTTTTAAAATGTAATAATGCTAGCCATAGTGATATTTTGTATTCTCAATTTCATTGCTGCAAGTTTTTTCATTTTGTCAGCATTTGTACAATACAATGACCCTGATCCTGATCTATGGATTCCAGTATATCTGGCTCCTGCTATCATTTCTGGATTAATTGGTTTTAAGCCGTCACTATCTGAATCAAAATTTATAAAAGTTTTTGACTTTGGATATATTTTCTTTGGAACTATTTTATCTGCATATTTGTTCCATCAAAACTACCAGGATAATTTCATCCACTGGGTGGTGCATGATGAAGTGGGGAGGGAGTTTGGTGGACTTGTGATCGTTATATTTTGGATTATTTTTATGCACGAAACATCACATTCATCTGTGAAGAATTGGTTATTGTCGGTTTTTATATGGATTCCGATTGCAATGTGGATTTATGTTTATAACAATCAGGAATATCGTGAACTTTGGCCTCAACATTGCCAGACTGCTCTTTATCCAGGAAGTTATCCTCCAGGAGAGGAATGCTGATAAGGCAATTTGACAATTATTATTATAAGAAAATTTCTCTAAGTAAGGTCATGCACACGAAGTCAAAAGCAAAAGAGGTCTTTTTAGATAAGTTACAGGCGACCACAGAAAGGTCAAGAGCTGTTGACATGGTAAAGATTTATATTGATTAACTAGGGGTTAGTAGGGATGCGACAAGATTCGGACTCGTGCTCGGATTCGTGGCCGAATCTCTCGTAATTTGATACTCTGATTCGGCCCGAGTCTTTGATGATTTTACCCGAGTCCGGGATATCATACGTCACGCGATAGTCAAGCGCAGACTGGTGGCGGATTCGACGAGTAATTCAACTTTTTCGTTCTGTTTTGCCACGAGACTGTCCAGCCTATTTTCTCTATATAAAATTGAAACTAGGCGCCAAAACTACAAATTCACGACGCCGTAAGAGCAAAAAAATGTCAGCGAAAGTCAGCTGAATAAATTCCAGTGTTGCGTGTAGCTTGCCTTCCATTGCCAGACGTCGTTTAGTGAATGTTTACCACGTCCTATTTCAAGCATAATATACTTGATAATCCTCGAACAGTGATTAATCCGTAATCAGCGGTAACCATGTCGCACTGTTCGCCTTTTATCGTTCCATAAATGATCTCACCATTTCCGGAGAGAAACAAATGTGAGAAATGTTAGAAATAAAACGATAAAATAGTGAAAATTACGGTACTTTTGAGAGAAAGTACAACTCGCAGATGTCAGTGGCCTTACACTCGTATATATGTACAAAAATAATCTCGCAAGTCGCATCGATTAAAGTCTATAAATTTGGAAACTATTACTCGTGGTAATTGGATGTTAATCGGGCCGACTTTTTATTTTCATTCAATAAGTATTTTTTTTTTTTTATTTACATACACCGCGATTAGTGACGGGCAAAATTTTATTTACATACACCGCGATTAGTGACGGGCAAAATCGATTTTCCCTGATCAAATAATTTGACTATTTCTTTTTATTTACCGATAGTAGAAAATTACTAGAAGACTGGAGACTCGATAACAAAGCGGCGTCTTTATTTCTTATCCGTAATTTTATCACAATCGCGAATTGTTTTTTTGTCACCGCGATTGTTTCGGCGACCGACATCCTAATTATTGTTGGTAAACTCTATTTTTGAAGCACCTTTTTTCACTATCAGCTCTCACGCAACGCCGGACATCGAAGTTTCGTTTTTATATTTCAGGCAGAAGTGTGAGTACAAATCGGCAAAGATATTAAAGACAGCTATTAAATAGTGAATTCATAAATATATCAATTTTATTCTGGCCTCATCTTCTGGATTTGATCTTCCATATCACAGTTTGTAAATTACGGTCCCTATTTTAAGCGAACAATACCTATCGTGGCTTAAATCTTACCCGCGACTCTCACTTCTAAATTACAGTAATGTTAATAAATTCAATTTTTGCTTTTCAAAGCGCCGTTATTTGTATTAATGAAAATGCTTGCGTCATGACCATGAGTTTGAACAGACAGCCGTAACTTAGCATATAACACATTTCGTCTTTTGCGTCTCTCTTATTGAATTATAATCAACAATTACACATTCTTATTTTCCGCGGATTCGACAATCGCTATTGATGGTTTTCAAACGAAGAATAGCTAGCTATTTTGTTACGATATATTTATAAGATACATTTTTCGATGCTTCCACAGTTGGCAATTCTTTATTAATATCTCAATTATCACGGAGATGGGCGTCTGTATCAGCGCCGACTAAAAAAGATAACATATAAGTAAAAATTTCCCATAAAAAATTTGTTCCAAACTTGTGGGTTATGGCCCATATTTATCGTGACAGGACACGAGCGCGGTGTCTTCAGCAGTCGACGCGGCGGTAGATCAGAGTTATGTAACAAAGTATTTATTCCTTCGACGGGGAATAGGACCTATTTATACTAATTTAAAATAGCCGCTCAGCGAATGATTGTCTCGAAAGCAATAGTGTTTATGTGCAACGTTTTTAATTACATAGTCTTATCATACAGAATGTTTATTTTACGGCCAATATACGCGAACAACAGCATCACTTTAGGTATTTATTTCTGAGCTATGTAAAAGTATTGGACTCGGGACTCGGACACGAGTCCAGCGCAAATACTCGGGATTCGGCCGAGCCGAACCTTTTTGGATTCGTTGCATCCCTAGGGGTTAGTAAATACCGAATGACACAGGGCTTGAAGGAGCTCAATATAACTAGAAAAACAGTTGATAAATTGGAGTGTACTAATACCGACGTCCGACAGGTTATCATAAATCTGCCACTACTTTAGAAAATATATTCAAATGTCCTATAAACCAGCATGGTTCCAAAAGCAGGGTTTGAAAAGTCAGTAAATCATAATGAAGCATTTGATTGAACATTTTACTACTTGATTTTTAGGATAGAATAGGATTTACATATTTATTCCCTCATGAAAGTCAGTAATAGTCAGTCAGTCAGTCAGTAGTTTATTTTATCACAAACCGAATGTAAACATTGACGAACAAAATTGAAAAAATGAAAGATTACATTTCAGTGTGAAGGGAGACGCGATAAACTAGAGAAGGTTATCGAGCAGCGTCACCTTTGAGGCAGTAAGTCTAATATTAAATCATAATGAGAAAGAAGTCAAACATAAAATACTAACAAAAGCCGGACTTGAGACGCCATTAAGCAACCCGTTAACCCGGATAATAACGAAAGAAAGCAACTCCAGACACGACAGGCCGCGGTCGCCATGGTGACCGCATATCATTGAACAACCAACCAAGAGAGCCGGACTGCCGGTGGTTATTCTGTGGCTGCGCTAAAGACTTTTGTACCGGTATCGCATATATGGCTCAATCGTAATATGGCTCAATCATATGGACCAGAGCGTCCAGTCTGGTTACCAGTCCATGTCGGGTGTGGGATTAGTTAGCTGGTTATTCATTTTCAGATGCATGAACTTGATGGTGGGTGAAGGCAAATCCGACCAGTGGTTAATGTTACGTGAACCACCCTACGGCCGTGAGGAGTACAGCGATCCTCTCGCACATAATTATCCCTCACAGAGGATTCGAACCTGCGCACTTGCGCAAGGTAATTAAAGGTGCGGTGGCGGGCATATTCCCAATATTAAGCCTCATGCAATACATTGTCCTGTTCTCTTTTAATTTAATGACAAAAAGTAAGACTTTAGTTTGAAAGAAATTAGCTATACATTTTAAATTGTATTCTGAATACCCATGAAAAATTCTATATCTGTTTTATTCCTGTTCTATTTAGCTTACAGAGTCAATAGTTAGAAATATCAGTAAAATGCCTCTCGAAATTAAAGTGAAGACTAATGGACATGCAAATAGGATTTTACAAGACTTGAACAGGTGAGTGTGAGACAGGGATATCTAAAATGATTAAAATTAAAGCCTGACTCGGGCAAACTACGTGACACATGGTCCGAAACCGGCCTGTTTGGTAATTCAATCTGGCCCGCCTGATGCTGCTTCAACCAAACAAACAAATTTCGTTGCTTCAGCTAAAAAAGCTCAAGGGTTCGGGGTTGTATTGTCATTCTTTGGGAGGAATTCTGCCATGTATTTCATGCCTGTAGTTTTACTAATATTCTTCAGTTCTTTATTATTACTGAAATATGTATTATGTATGTAAATCGGGAGTGCGACATGGTCATGACACTAGCTTAATCGCCTTGAAGCTCCCATCGCTATCTATTTCTCCAATGTCTCTAGTATTAGTAAGGATTCATTGATAAAGATTGAATTAGTAAAGTATTATTAAATGTGTAGAGAGGAAGGAATAAAAGTTCCAAAATAGGGAAAGGGGGGGGGGGGGGATTTCATCAAAAAGATTTGGAACCACTGGGTTAAAGCATTGGACATTACTGTATTGGCATTGCAAGTAACACAGTTTGGGTTCAAATCTTATTTGATATGTCAAATTTTAATTTCGGGAATGATTTAAAACTGTTTATATGAAAATTTTCTTGATTTGACATCTGATGGTGAGACAGACACTTCATTCATATAATACATGATTTTGCTTCTAAGACCATCAGTTCTTATATTTGCCACGATTAATATTGAAAAGCCAACAAACAAATGAGTAAATGCATTACTGGTAAAGAAATGATCAAATGCCGGTCCTTTTACACTAAAATAATATGGTCATCGCGACTGGCACCATGTGATGGCTTTTGCATGTGCTACTCCGCAACAAGCCTCATGAGCCTCTTGGACAAGAACAAGAGTATATTTTGGACAAACTCAGATATAAACTATTCTTTCCTACTTACCATATATCCTCGCATATAAGTCGATCCCCTAATAACACCCTTAAAGCGGGGAATTTATAAAAATTCGCATATAAGCCAACACTACAAATCGTAGAAGGCCATACGCACCTATCACAACCAGGGATGTTCAATTTGAATTTAATATTCAATATGGCTATTTGCTACCTTCAGAATATCGTTTTTGGTGAAAATTGATATCGCGCACACATCCTAGCGCCCTTCGTCCACGTTTTGATTGAAAACATTTTTAGATTATGACTTATTTCAATAAGTAAACAAATAGCTCATGGAGCCCCTAGGTTTCTCATTCAGAGCCATTGGCACTTTGAGAACCTATGTTCTAGTCTACATATTTATCGGGTGGTTTCACGTCTTCTTTGCAAACATGACTCTAGCTCAGGGGTGGGTAAGGTTTTTAACTTAAACCAGGGGCCAAAAATTTTACCTACCGAGACTGCCAAGTAAGTGTGACTTGAATTTTATGAACAATATTTGCAGTGTTACAAACGCTAAATTGGAAAACAATAAGTCTCGTGCCAAAACTAAATTTATTTCGAACAATTCCTTGAGCTATTTTTTAGCTAAAACATCAAAATTTGGTTTCTGTTTGATTGTGGCAGCATCAGGCTGACCAGATGGAATTACCCAACAGGCTGTAGTTTTCCTATGCCAGCTCTAGCTAATCAGTCACGGATATAGGAGCAGCTATTATGTTCTTGCAAGGTTCATTCTGGTTTGGGATATGGCTTATCTATCTATAATACTGGGTTAAGTGGGTGTGAGTTGTCACCCGAGACCCAGTGTTCACTTCAAGAAAATTATGAGTGTGTGCGTTTCTCACAATCCAGA